ACTTGATATGCCCCCCTCCCCACCACCAAAACACTTTTCCTCTAGGGGTAGCTTTCACCAAGTAAAAACCTGAAAAGAGAGGCTATAAAAGCGTTCAGCTGATGCAGTCTTTACTTAACCTCTCATTATGGGAAATGCCTCCAGTCATTGTGCACATTTTATGTACATTATAACTACATCAGCTGCTTCTCTCTCAATGAAAACAAAAATGAGTAAATGAAGCATACAAGCATTAAACAGCATTGCTTTGCTCATTGTGTTACTCACAATGAATTCATTTGGCATGCTGTGCGCTTTCACTGATCTTTAAACCCTTTGGCGGCTGATGGTTCACAGTTAAATGAAGCGTGATGTTGGATAGTGTTCGATTAATGGTTTTCTTCATTAAACATTGTTTTAACAGGTCACAGCACTACACAGCATGTTCTAATCACACTAATCACGTTTTATTGACGTAAAACTGTTCCACACTGGGCTAAACGGAGAAAAAGAGCTGGAAAAACTAGTGTGTGTCTAGAGGCTAATCAACCATTAGCATCTCTTCCAAACTTCTTTCGCATGGATTTTGTACAGGCCTGAAATGGACAATAAAGCGGCACAGCTTGTTGCCTTTGTGTTTTTAACCTACAAAACATCTGTTCATCCTGTGTAAAACCGGTGATGGGGCTAATAAGTGGATTATGTATTGCACTAAATGCTTTTTTTAAAATGTAAGAATGTTTCTAGGCAAAAAATAGAGAGAGTCGAAACTGTGCAAAAACATGTTTATTCAGGAGAATTCAACAGATAAACAAATGTTTTTGTAATGCTGGAGAAAATAATAGATTACTTTGTTGAAAAATATGAATATATGCATGTATGCATTCAGTTTTGTGTTTGCTAGTCATGTACCCACTAGCAGTTATGCTCTAAATTAGCTAAAATTGTCCCTACTTATACATTTGGTAAAGTTTCGATAGTGATGATTATTAGTTATGATTAGTTATGATTATTTTGGTAGTGACAAAATGGAATGTTCAATCATTTACTTTACTAAAATACACATAATTTAGGTGTAGGGTCACTCAAAGCAAAATTATTTTAGTCCAAGTGAGTTAAAAGTCTGAAATGTATTTTGAATTCTGACCACTGAATGATCCAGAAGAATAAGTGAGTAAGTTTCCAGAATTGGAGTTCCAAAAAAGATTAAAAGATATAGAGAAAATGCGACTCCTGACATCCATGCAAGACCTTGTAGACCACTAAAACTGTCACCATCAGATAAATGGTACTTAAACAGTGCTTAGAGCATGACTCACTCTCAGTGGTTAAGAAAGGCACTAAGTGTTCTCTTTGGCTGGATTTCCTCTGTTTAGGAACCAAAACAGCTGATTGTGGCAGCTGTTGAATTGTTGCTGGTAAACTGCCTTACTTACTAGCCAGTCTAAGCTGCTCTTGAGTCGCTATGTCTCCAAATGAAACCCCTTCGGACCATCAAACAATGCTGCTTTAGCCAATGACATTTCAGTATACCCTTTATTTTGTAGCATACGTTCTGAATCAACATGACAGTGATGTCATAAGAATACACTGGACAAAAGTATTGGGACACCTACACATTACACCTACAGGAGCTTTAAGACATCCCATTCTAAATCCATAGGCATTAATATGGAGTTGGTCGCCCCTTCGCAGCTATAACAGCTTTCACTCTAGGAAGGCTTTCTACAAGATTTTGGAGTGAATTTTTGTTCATTCATCCAGAAGAGCATATGTGAGGTCAGACACTGATGTTGGATGAGAGGGCCTGGCTCGCAATCTCCATTCAGTGGTGTTGAGGTCAGAGCTCTGTGCAGGCCACTCAAGTTCTTCTAAACCAAGCTCACCCAGCCATGCCTTTATGAAACTTGCTTTGTGCACTGGGGCAGTCATGCTAGAACAGAAAAGGGCCTTCTCCAAACTGTTCCCACAAAGTTGGAGGCACACAATTGTCCAGAATGGCTTGGTCTGCTGAAGCATTAACATTTCCCTTCATTGGAGCTAAACTAAGGGGCCTAGGCCAATCCCTGAAAATCAATAACAGTTGATCGTGGAATATCTAGGAGAGAAGAAATTTCTCAAACTGGCTTATTGCAATGATGGCATCCTGTTACAGTACTACGCTCAAATTCATGACCCATTCATTCACAAATGTTTCTAAAAGGCAGGCTGCATGGCTAGGTGCTTGATTTTATACACCTGTGGCAATGGGTACTGAATGAAACACTTGAATTCAGTGATTAAGAAGTCTTAAGAAGATTAAGAAGATTTTGTGTGCTAATGTCACTGTGTTAGTGGCAAACCAGTATAGTTGGCAAGGCTTCAGGGTCACCATGTTCCTGTGAAGATAAATAATGTTCATATAAAGTCTATAGAAGATTATTCATGTCTGTCAGCCAAAAATCATAAGAATAATCACACAGATGCATACATCAATTATGGAAATGAATCATAAAAGAAAGAAATGAATCATATTTCAGGACAAAAAGTGAGTTATAAATGAGACCTGACAAACTGACATAAGACAGATAGTAAGCATCTATTATTAATGAGCTGACCAGTCAAGGGACCAGTCAGCACTTTAAAGTAGGTTAGCTGCCTGCTTGCGTCAGCTTGTTATTGCTATATTTCGGTCAGAGACACTTTCTGCATGTCTGAACCTGCATAAAACTGACTTTCAGATCCTGTGATTCTACATCAATGCCAAAGTCTGTCAGTGAATCTCTCCGCTCACATACTACACAGTTTACTAAGTTATAGTGACTGCTGAAGTCAGAAAGTTGAGAACAAAGTTCTTACTTGTTTCAAAACAAAGGAAAGCAATTTCTGTATGCACCTGGTGTCCTGTGGTATCTGGCACCAGATGCAGCAGATCTTGTTAGTTCATATGTTGCAAGGTGGAGCTGCCATGGATCAGACTTGTTGTTCTAGCACATCCCACAGATGCTCAATCTGAGTTCTGGGGAACTCGGAGGCCAGGACAAAACCTTGAAACCTCATGTTCCTCAAATGCGTGCAGTGTGGCAGTGTGCATTATCCTGTTGAAAGAGTCCACTGCCATTGGGGAATACCACTGCCATTAAGCGGTGTACCTGGTGTGCTATGATGTTTAAGTAGGTAGGTCAAATTGATGTCCACATGAATGCTGGAGTTTCCCAGCAGAACATTGGCCAGATCATTGCACCCCCTCCATAGGCTTGTCTTCTTCCCACAGTGCATCCTGGAGCCCTCACTTCCCCAGGTAAGCAGCACACACGTCCCTGGCCCTGCACGTAATGTAAAAGAAAACAAGACTCCTTCTTCCAGGTGAGTTTTTTCCATTGGTCCAGTTCCATTGCTTGAATGCTCATTGTAGGTGCTTTTGATGGTGGACAGAGGTTTGCAAGGGCACTCTGAACACTGCGGCTATGCAGAGTGTGATGCACTGTGTCTTGAGACACACTTCTCATGTAACCATCATTAAACATTTCTGTAACTTGTGCCACAGAAGCCCTTCTGTTGGTTGAGACCAAACAGGAAAGTCTTTATTGCCTTTGCTCAATGATGCATTTTGGGCCCCCAACCCTGTCATGAGTTGGTGGTTTGTCCCTCCTCAGACCACTGTCAGTAGGTACTCACCACTGCTGACTAAGCCTTGCCATTTTAGAGATAACGAATGTGCCCTTGTCAAAGTCACTCAGGTCTTCACACCTGCCCATTTCTCCTGCATCCAACATGTCAGCTATGAAAATTGACTGCTCACTTACCGTCCAGTAAATCCCAGACCTTGACATGCACTGTTGTTATGAGATTATCAACATGATTCTACCTTTGCCACAAGTCAGTTTGTGAAATTTCTGCCCTGCTTGATCTGCCCTGATAAACTGTAAGTGCTATTATTGTAAAATAGAAGCTTTCTGGAGCAACAACAGCTCAGCCTCAAAGCAGTAACTCACAGAGCACGGCCACCACATTATAAAGTGAATAGTGCATAAAAAATGCCTATCCTATGTTGGATCACTCACTTCAGAGTTCCAAACTGCATGACCGAGCAGCTGCACAAAAGCTCAAGGTCACTATGTGCAATGCCAAGCATCAGCTAGAGTGGTGTAAAGCACACTGCCACTGGACTCTGGAGCTGTGGAAACATGTTCTTTGGAGTGATGAATTATGCTTCACTACCTGGCAGTCTGATGGATGAATCTGTGTTTGGTGGGATGCCAGGAGAAAGCTACCTATTGGAATGCATAGTGCCAACAGTGAAGTTTGGAGGAGGAGGGATAATTGTCTGAGGCAGTCTTTCAGGGTTTGGGCTCGGCCCCTTAGTTACGGTGAAGGGTAGTGTTAATGCTAGAGCATAGAAAGACATTTTAGACAATTATGTGCTTCCAACTTTCCAACTAAGCCTTTTCATGTTCCAGCATGACTGTGTGTCTGTACACAAAGTGAGGTCTGCAAAGACATGATTAGATGAGTTTGGTGTGGAGGAACTCCAGGACAGTGCCCTGACCTCAAACTCACCGAACCTTTTGGATGAATTGGAACATCGATTGCAAACCAGACCTGAACATCAGTGCCTGACCTCTCAATTGCTCTTTTGACTGAATGGGCACAAATTCCCATAGACACTACATTAATACCCATGGATTTGGAATGGGATGTCTAACATGCTGATAAGTGTGATGGCCAGGTGTCCACATACTTTTGGCCATATAGTGTATATCAGTTTGTTATTTATGCCACTGAAGTTAAATGTGGGGATAGAACATAATCCCATTATACACTCTATTAAATTATTGTCCCAAAACCACAGCTGGACAACTCCATCAGTAAAGCAACTACTTTCTGATAGGTCTGTGGTTTGACGCGGCTTTGTAACGGGAAGTGATATTAGAAAGCTCGCATAAGCATCATACATGGATCTCAAGGTAAATAATAAATACAAGGAAATTGTAGAAACGGGGTCTTTAAAGAAACTCAGAAAAATAACAAACAATGCAAAACTACAATTACACTGCTGCCTCAATCTGTCTGCTGCGTGATGAGAATACAGTGATGGTGACATCATAGTTTATATATAGAAGAGTAGGATCTTCTTTGTGGCTCTTTGCCCAGTTAAGGTAATAGTTGACCCATTGCCTGTGCCTCTTATTCTTATTGATGAATGGCTTTTTGCTGCCTGCTTGCTTTTCTGTGCCAACACTCTGGCTGTCTCTGATGGAAATGGAGCTGGCACCACAAAGAGTGACATCAAATTCTGGCCACCAGCTGCCCTGCATCAATGCATTAGAACACTCTGCGTTTTTGCAGGAAATAAATAAATAAAAGAAATGAAGGCTTGTGGGTAACACAGCTAAATTAGCTTGGAGATTTCCTCGATGCATATGGTAAACCACCAGCATTAAAGTGCAGTTTGATCTATTCTCCTCTAAATAAGGCTTGACTTCCAGTTGGAACTCATTTAATCATTTTAGCTTTAGAGCATTTTATTTGCTATTCAGATTGGGCTGCGATGTTGTAAGAGAACACTCCGTCTACCCACCCACCCGTAATATGATTTGTTTTAAGTGTAATGGCTTGTAATTGGCTACGTCTCTAGATCACAAGAGGTGCATCTGGAGTCCTCAGTTTTGACTGTTCAGTGGATAAAGAAAATTCTGGGTTATTCTTTTGCAAATTTGAGTTTGTCATAAAAAAAGACAATTAAGGATGGTTTATAACATTTCTTAATAACAAAGCATTATTAATACTAATCATAATAATAAAGATCTTTTATCTACAGGTATCCTCTCCCATTCTTTAAACCATCTGCTGAACACACTCGTCTTCTTTTTCTCCCCTTTCTTTTCTTTTCTACTGCATCCATCCATGGAGCTTCTACTCTGGCTCTCTCTGGCACTTTGATTGTTCTGTCCTCTTTAATCCTCCTCTCCTTCCTCCTCTGCTCCTCCCAGGTTCTCTCCGTCCATCTGAATCTGAATTTTATAATTAGTCAACAAAAGAAATGCTCACATTATTTTTCTTAAATGGTGTTGTGTTTGAATGTCAGGCCATAAGAAAGTAAAATTCATTTGGCTCAGAACTTGTTTTATTTATTAATAATAAATTTGTCATTATAATCATAATAATCATGATTCTTTCTTGCTCTCACTTCCTCTACCTCTCTCCTCCTGCACCTCACTTCCTCCACCATCTGCTGAGCACACTCTTCCTCTTCTTCTTTTCTTTCTGCTCTTTTCCACCACATGCTTCCATGGAGCTTCTGCTCTGGCTCTGCTGGTCTTTTGCTCTGAGGTTCATACTTTCAGGGCTCTCTCCTTCCTCTTTGATCCTCCTCTCTTTTCTCCTCAGCTCCTCACAGGTTCTCTCCCTCAATGCCGCCAGCATTCGTCTCCATCGTTCCTCAGCTTCTGCCTCAACCTCAGCAAACGCCTTCGCTTCCAGTTGCAGTTGGTGTAAAGACTTGCTCCTCGCCAGCTTCTGTTGCTCTCGCTCTCTTTCCTCCTTCATCCTCCTCCTTTCTTTCTCTGCCTCCATTCTGATCTTCTCCACCTCCATCTGACTCTCCATCCTCATCACCTCTTTCTCTCTTTCCCACTCTCGCAGTCTCGCCTGCTCCCTCTCTTTGAATTCACTCTCCATCTTTTCTTTTTGTTCCTCCAGCTTTTCCTCCACCTCTCTCCTCAGTTCCTCCATCTCCCTCATCCACACTTCATGACTATCTTGGTGGAGTCTTAGTTGTTTTTTGTCCTCATTTCTCTCAGTCCTCATCCACCAGATCATTCTCCTCAGCTCCACCTTCTCAGCCTCCTCCTCCTGCGTGTATTGCGCCAACCATTTCTTCTCTTTCATCCACTCCTCCTCCATCTTCCCCCTCTCTTCCTCCATCTTTTTTCTCTCCTCCATCATGATCCTCCTCTCCGTCTCAATTTCCTTCTGTCTCACCTCAGCCTTCTTTATATATTTAGGCATCTCCTTTCTCTCTTCCACTCTTTCTCTCACCATCCTCTCCCTGTATTCCTTTATCTCCTCTCTCTTTTTCTCTCTCTCCATCTGCAGCCTCTTCCTGCATTCTCTCATCTGCTTTCTCTCTCTTTCTCTCTCCTTCTCCATTCTCTCCCTGTCTTTCTCCAGCTCAGAGATATTTTTCTCCATCTCCTTAAACCTCTCCTCCAGCGCTCATTGTTCCTTCCTCCAGATTTTCTCATCTTTCTTTCGTCTCTCCTCCTCCATCCTCAGGTTCTTCATCTCCTCCGGCAACTTCTCCGTCTCTCTGAGGTGTTCCTCTTTCATCACCTTTATCTCATTCCTCACCTCCCTAATGGAGCCTGCGTTTGTTCTCAACTTCTCAGTGTCCTCTATCCAGGAGTCTTTCTCCTTCATCATCTTTCTCTCGCTCTCTCTCTATCAGTCTTTGAGAATTTCTTTGGACCGGAGTTCAATTTTAGTCCTGTTAAATTCTCTCTCCTTCAGCAGTTTCTCCAGGACCCATGTCTTCACCTCCTTAATTTGATTTTCAATCAGCAGCTTATCGTGTGTTATCACTGATAAAAGAAAACGGTGTGTTTCTGGCTTCTAGCTAGTGGAGGCTGTGTTTTTAGCTTAGCGAGCTAACAGTTTGTTCAGTGGGAGTCAACAGTGAGTGCGCGCCTGTTCTTTTGGTTTTGCTGTTTTCTCTGGCAAATTCTTCAGTAAAGCTGAGTTAGACGACTCAAGGTTACGGTCCACAAGTTTCTCCTGAGAACCCTCAATGTCACCATATCAATACATGTAGTGAGAATTGTGGATCTTTCACCGAAAACTCCTTCTCATGCACTTTCTTTGACATGGTTGTCAAACTACTGACTGAGGTAAAAATGCTGACTCCAAGTACAAAACTTGTCAGGGAATCGAGGGTTAGCTCATTGAAGCTGGTGAACTGCGAGGGAGGCAAGCTTACTTACCTAAGCTGAACCCAAAATGGAGTTCTTAATTAACATAAAACAGGTATAAGCAGGCTAACTTTACCAGCCAAAGCTGAATTTTAAGCTGAACTACACAGCTGAGTGGACGGCAGCAGATGGGGCAGCCCTCTCATCATACACAGTGACATTGTTAGTTAATTTGTGCACATCAGTTTCTTTTTCTACTTAAAGGTATCTGCTTTACTACAAGAGATTTGATGTGATTTTGCCTTATTCTAGCGAAATATATGGGAAATATGTTATGCACTGTTTAGACAGTCCCTTAATGGCTAAATCAGCCTTTCCAGGACAGTGAGAATTTTAATTTTTGAATGTTTATCTAATGGTTTTATCAGGAACCCCTACCATATTGGTGGATTTTGTAGGTTTAGAGTTACTGACTGTGGCCTATGTTATACATCTGTACATCTGTTGATGCACAATTTTATTAGTCCCCCCTCTACTATATCTGTCAGTGTTAAAGGACCAGCATAGGACCACCACTGACTAAATATTATTTGGGTGTTGTACCTTTCTCAGCAAGGCATGGTAATGTGTGTTACACTGACTGTTTCAGGCACACTGTTGGTTTTGAGCTAAATATTGTGTACACTTACTGGTCACATTATTAGACATGTTTTTATGTGTCTAATAAATGATGTAAAAACATAAAACCTGAAAGGAAATTTTCAGTTGCAAGGATTTATATTACAGCAACATGTTCAAACATATCTCTAAAAATCCACTCCTACATCTTTTGGAGCATGTTCAGTCAGGATAGTCAAAAAAACCAACTGCCTCTTTCAGTACTATTTTTCATCTTAGCCTTGCCACTTCCCTTTGGGTGAATCCCCAACACCATCTTAAGGGCCGTTCCATTTCTACGTAGTAGCGTAAGTGATGTGTGTACCCTCGGAGGGGTAAGGGAACGAGTGAACACAAGTGTTAACTTTGGCAGCAGAACATGCCCAGAAGTCAATGTGATCTGAGACATTTCCCTTTTTAAACGCACAAAAAATGGCAGACAACGCTGTTTATAAACATTAGTGATAAAATACTTAAAAATGCTCAGTATTTCAAAACTATAACATTCAATTTGTTCAAACTGGGCAGGTACCTAACTACTCCTTCTGTTATTCATGATACTGGTATGGCTGCTGATACAACTTAATTACTTTACTCTGCTAGTTTACTAGTTAGTTCTGCAAAGTTTGCATGGCTTGCTAATTAGCTTGCTAACCTAGCTGAGGGTAGGTGTGTTGCACGTATTTCAAGTATCTACTTGGGTAACAGAGTGGTGCATCGAAGTTGACAAGAGCATGATAAAAACAGTATTAAAACCAGACCTAAGAGATTTACAGTAGGGAAGCAGGCATGCTTTCACAGCAACAAGTCTCCATTTAATGGGTATAACATATTGCCATGAGCACTAACTTTCCAAAAATGTTGATGTGATTTTAATTTAACTCTGTCCTGTAGGTCAGAATGAAAAACAGCACGAGAATAACAAGGGCCGCAGTTTTCCCTTCAGCAAATAACACAGTCATCTTCTGAAATGAGTTTGACAACAATGAATGCCTTCTGGACATTATTACACCTCCTACATCTTACTCACAATACATTGTTTAATCCTTGGACGAGCTAAATCTGCCTGAAATCATGCTTCAAATAATCAGCCAGGTAATTGGATAGGCCCTCTGATTTCTGTCTCTGCAGAATTAGTGCTGATTTGCAATCTAAAGGGCTGAGAACATGATGTCTGGCATAAATCAGCTTTAGCTCGGCAAGCTGCACGTTAGTAGAACAGCATCCCTTATAAATCCTCATGGATTGTTGATGAAAGCTTGTGTTCGGTGTGTTAATTTATTGTTAATTTTACTTCCTCTGTTTAATTGAAGTTTGTGTAAATGAACACATCCTACACAGGCCTGCTCAGTACTGGCTGTGAATGAAGTCTTATAAACCCCTAAATGCTAAAAGATATATTATGATTTAAATTTGATGAAAAAGTTGCTGTAATCTTTTACATTTTTATCATTTTGTGACATTGAAACACATTAGAAGTGCCGATATAGAACGTAAATGTAAAAACCTCAATTAAAAAAAAATTGTTTCAGTATTGAAATGTTAATAAACACAGACAGACACTGGCGTTTGAACTTGATGCTTGTAACAATCTGCATGGTCCTTTTTGTTCTTTGGCCCGGAGGACACAACGTCCATTATTTTCACCAACAATTGAGAAGTTTGACTTGAAAGATCACAATACAGTTTTCCACTGTGCAGCGGTCCATTTCAAATGAGCTCAAGCCCAAAGAAATCGGCGGCGTTTCTGGAAGTTGTTGACAGCTGACTTCCACTGTGAACAGTACAGTTCTGACTTACATTTGTGAATGCAGTGACAAACAAGTGTTTATTGTCTTCAATTTATCAAGGAATTCTTGATCCAATATGGTGATATCCATCACAGAAGCATTACAGTTGTTATGTTTGTCCTTGGCCTTTACGCACAGAGATTTCTCTGGTTTCCCTGAATCTTGTAATGATATTATGCATCGTGAATCGAGTGAAATACCAAAAATCCCTGCTTTTTGAGGAATGTTATTGTCTAACTGTTGGGATATTCGCTGATGCAATTTTTGTCAAAATGGCAACCTATCGACCCATGCTTGCTCATCGAGAACTCAAGAGCGTTTCTGGATGCTGTCTTTATGCCCAAGTATGATTATGTCATTAAGATGTTTTTTGGAATTAATATCTTTACCTGTAATTATGCAAGTACATATAATTAAATAATACAAATCAAATATGTAGGAAAACAGTGATAATTTCAGAATTCTTAGGTTCAAACAGCTGCATTAAACACCGTCAATTTTGCAGAATGTGTGGTGTCAAACCCATTGGATCAAATTCAGCCCCTATGAGAGGCAAATACATTTAAACCACATGCAGTCAGACGAGGGGGCGATCAATGCAGCACACTGCCATGTACAACACATTCTGTTAGAGATGGTGTTTGTTGAATTGCACAAATGTTTATACTGCACCTAACAAGTATAAGTGCAGCATAGGCACATTTTATGCGTTACTCAGGGTTGCTTTGGTCAAAGCACAGAGGCCTTTCACTAGTATCACTAATATTTTATCCCGGTACATTTTTCTAAAATTCCAAACCACTTTGAATTACTTTGTTTACATCTGAATGATTTAATCATGCATACATTTTGAAAAATCTCCCCAACGGGACTGATTCTAGTTCAGTGGTGCAACATGATCCGAGACTAATAGCTGACTGCGGGGCAAATCTGTTGGCATCTCTGGATGTTGCATTGTAAACTGATTTCTGAGGGTCTGTTCAAAAGCTTATCGTCCAGAGGAATGTAGTGAGGCAAGGATGAATGAGTGACTGCAGCGCCCAGATCCAAATTGCAAAAGGAAGTTTAGTTTAGCTTAGAGTCTCGAAGGAAACAATGGTATAAATGATCCATGTTATTTACTCTGAAAGCAAAACTTTCAGTTTTTATGCCATCATGCTCTGCATTCACGTTACAAGTTGTGAAAGAAATCTGACAACAGAGTGATGCCAGACGCACAACTGAGTGGAATGAGTCAGGTAAATGTGTCTGAACAAATGAGCATTATTTGCTGATGTCGCTGTTGGCAGCTATTGCTTATGAATAATAGCAACCAGACGCTGAAACCCCTGCAGCTTTATAAACATTACAGTAAACAGTTACATTACAATATAATGGATAAGTGGGAGTAACTAGAGAATATGGCACCTTACAGTGAAATCTGAAATACTGACTAATGCATAAAAGGGGTCATATTAGATATAATTGCTCAATAAATCTCCACGTATTTGGTCTTATGTCCAAGCTGAATTTTTTAATGAGCATACCGGTGGCTGAGCTGCTTTACCCCATGACTATTGAGTCACAGGTAGTACGTAACTGGGTCAGCCACATTGGTTCATAGACTGTGCAATGAGGACATAAAGAGTGGTCTTGAGAGGGAAAGCCTGCAATATTTGTTCATCATAGCCTGTTTCTCCTCTGCTTATGTGTTATATATTGTTGGATGTGTTACTTAAACAGCCCATATCCTACATTTTTCTTTTATTATTATCCTGAGGTCCACATTTAACATTTGGTTTTATAAACCAGAAACCTTCTGTATTCATCTCTACATGACCATTTTCAATCCCTGTTTATCTATAATTAAACAGGCTGTTGCTGTTACTGTGTCCTTAAGACTTACATATGTAATTGATCTCTGTTATGATTGACTGTCCTGTATTACAACAATTCATAGCTTCTGTTTTCAGTCATAGTGACACAGATGTTATGCAATTTATGGGCACACTCAATAAATTAAGAATTAATTAGCTAATTTATTGATGTTTCCTAATCAAAAATGCAAACTTTAACTGTAGCAATCCATAAAAGTAACTGTAACCTAATTGTGCTAGGGGTATAGCCACCCATATACCCACATTTTTACATTCAAGATGATTTTTGAGTCTTAAGTCACAATTTTAATTTGATTTTC